TGAATTTTATGGTGTAAGGAAAAGTTTGAGAAGTTCCTTCCATAATGTGAGAATGTAGGATACTCTTGCCACAATTGTGATATATATAGGCCCTGAAATCTGACCTTTGAGAAAAAGGGGAATTATCCTCCGTCAAAATTTGTACAGCAAAGATGGATTTATTTACCTACAGACGAGGACGTGCTCGTTAAAGCTACAGTCTGCTTACGATATGACATATTGAGACTCATGAACAGTTAGATTCGCTGTCCTGAAATATGTTCAAATCCAAGATGAAAAGTCAAAATGGCTATTGCCCTAAAGACAATGACCCCTTGAGTAACTTGAGAGACTACATTACGACGTATGAATTGAAACAACCTCTAACTGTGCTTATCATAGACCTTTTAAGAGTATTGAGGAAATTTTCAATCGATCCTGTTAACCAAGGACGTATAGATAAGACTCGTAAATGAACGAAGTTATATGTCAAGTATTCTATACTTTAAACTATGAAGGAACTTTTGTCATCAATACCAAAAGATCAGTGAAGACCTTGCTTAATCGAAAATTGTAAATCTCTCGAAGATTGAACGAGTTTGGTGAAATCAATGAATTGAGAATACGTATCCGAAAGATAGCGACATAACCATGTGAATATGAAACGGTCATGATCAGTGAGATCATTACGAAACATTGAACGTTGAACCTTATAAGAATTTTGAGGACGAAATTCCTTTAAGGGGGGAGAAATGTAACGCCCCAAAACATACCCTAGAATTATTAATGAATAAATAATCAATTAATCAAATTTGTTTTTATTAAAATAAATTATTGTTGGGCTTTGGGCCGATATGAAATCTGTTTTGACATCCAATATCAAAATCTGGATAAGTCTCATAGAGATAAATCCAGTATGTGGACTATTTGTGTGGTCTTGATTGGGAACCTGAGTACAGACCCAAATCAAGAGTAAATAAAGAATTTCTTTAGAATGTAAATATTGAAATGATTTCTTAAAATAAATCATGAGAATAATTGATATGAATTAAATGAGATAACCTTTGATGAGAAAAGTCAATTAAACCAATTTTGATTCTGTCAAAGTCAAACACCCAAAAATATGATATCGGAAAAAGTATTACAAATAAATATAAAAAATTATATAGTTAGATAGAGTATAACTACCCGATCGCAGCGGTGCAAACGGAATTCAATTTGGAGAAAGTTGGACCACAAAGTGTACCCCGATTAGAACCAAAATTGGTCCCAATCAGGGAACGGCGTGTAAATCTCATGGAATCGCCGTCCTGCGCACTAAGGAAATTCTACGCATCACTGACTCAGCTCAGCTTGGCAGCTTCCTTCCCCACACTACTATAAAAGGATGTTTTCATCTCTCTCAATTCTACACAAAATTTCTTGAAAATTATCCCATAAGAATCTTGAGAGTGAGGAGAGCAGTCTGGGGTTGTTGGTTGCCGCCGAAGTCGCCGGAGTTAGGAGTAATCGTCGCAGGAAGTTTCGCCAGAAAATTCTCAAAACCTTCGATAAGCTTCGAGGTGAGCCCGTAGATATATCTAATGACTAGAATGTTCGTATAGATCATTTCTACGTTCATAAACGATCGTTTGGTTGAGTTTTGTTTTTGACATGCTTGAAGAATCAAGAATCATAAACCATGAAAATGATGTTAAAACTATGAATTGATAATACCAAAATGATCTATGAACCTTGGAGAACATCTCTATATAGTTTCGTTGAAGTTCGATGACTAAAAAGGAGATTTCCGAAAAATGGGCCGAAGGTTGAAGAAGGTGAACAGTAAGCTGAAGAACACTTTCTGGATCGATCCTAAGGCTTGGATATATCCTCTGGGAAGAATTTTTCACATTATGGATTGATCTAGAGGGCTGGATCGATCCCCCGAAGTTCTGATCTGAAAATTTGCCCGAAATTGCTATTTTTGAGCTCTAAAATCCTATTTTTGATACCAATTCGTTATGATCATTATAAAAATGATTTTTCACAATAAAAATGATGTTTTTAACAAATAAAAATGATATGTGATGAATGACGGTAAGTTTGGGTGTTAACACTCGAAACTAGACCGCTATTTGTTATCAATTGTTATGTTGATTGATGATTATGATGAATGATTATTATGGATGATTATGAATGATGAACTTACTGATTAAAATAATTATTGATGATTGAACCATGGGTTAAATGAATATATTGATAATTATTAAACGATTTGTATTGTTAACGGTATCTAGAAGAACTCTAAGATATACCCATTAGTTAATTGATGTTAAAGCTATCTAGAAGACCTCTTGATGGGTGTATTCCACCCAAGACCGGTCAAAATAAAGGGCCAAATAGTTGACCGGTCAAGCTGATTATACTTGGAGGAGAGACCTTAATCGACAGTAAAAAGAGGCCCGATTGACTAAAAATTTGACCGGTACACTTCGGATATTATACCGGTCAAATTACTCCATTGCCTCATTCATTCCTCAAACGCGGTAAACTTATCCTTGGGAAACTACCCGGTGTAGTTTCTAGGGTTGGGAAGCGTCGGCAGAAAAGAATCCAAAGTGGTTTGGACCGTAGCGACCGAGATCAGTGGAGAATCGCTGGAGATGCTTGAACATTCCATCCAAGGCGCTACCTGACAAAGGAAGTAATCTTCCTCACAAGGCGACAAGGCAGCTAGAGGACGAAGCCCATCACCTCTCACCATCCGAGATGTTCCTGAACATGGCTGCATGATACTATGTCCCCCCTTAACCTAGTATAAATACTGCTGTAATCCTCAGAAGTGGGGATCGGAATTCATTCTCTGTAAACTCCCCTGTAAGAGCACCCGTGCATTCTCTTATATTAATATCAATTGGGCTACAGGTGTTTTCACCTAAAGTCTTCCCAGTCATATTTGAGTGTTTTTATCTTTTTACTTTATCAAGTCAAGTGAACTGTTCTAGACCCGGTCTAGTATAGTTTACCCGGTTAGGTAATTTACACCATCACCTCTAGAATAGATCTTGTATTAGAATAGACTTATGAAAACATGAATATTTGATGAATTAGATAAAAATGTATAAATGGGATTCGTATACCAAACTAGAGGATTACTCGTTTGGGAATGCCCGATCCAATGTTGATCAATCGCTATATTGTTGTTGCCTTAACTGACTACAGTTAAGTGTCCGAATCATTTGCCTTAAACTAGTGATAGTTTAAGTGTCTGATTGCCTTATCTGACTACAGTTATGTTGAAACACGGGTTTAACGTGTTTTCATACTTAAGCTGTGTTCGTTTTTATGACAGGTTTTGATAATGCCAAACTGCTGTGAATGAGACAAGTTGTTGAATATACAAGGCGAGAAATAAATATAAGAAGAGAGCAAGAGAACAAGAGCTAAAAGAGATCAAGAACGAACACCATGGTCTTTAGCATCCTTGAGTCGGTCACAATGTGATTAAGACCGACCCAACCTTTACACCTTGGCTCTTTAGGCTAAAATTCTTTTCATTGCATTTCACACATCATAAAAATGTTTTTCAAACATGTTTAAAACATTAAAAACACTTGGTGTCCGCCCAAACCAAAAACCAAGCCATCCGGCGTTCGGGGTTCAGAAATCGGCGTTCGGCGTTCGGTTTTCGGCGTTGGTTTTTGCCGTCCGAACTAACCAAGTGGTTTTCAACTTTTTATGACTGGTTTTTACTTCTGGGCACATTTAAATAGTTTTTCATCAAAAACACTTCAAAAACCACCTTTCGTTTTTTGTCGTTTGATAAAAACCACGCGAAACGGCATAAACTTGGCTAGCCGTGGTTTTTACTTAAACGAAATGGTTTTCAAGTCTTTTTGTGTGGGAATTGTTTTTGAATGCATTTAAATGGTTCTNTGTTTTATATACTTAGTTTTTACTTTGGAGAACTTTGCATTTTTCGGTCGGGTTTCAGCGCCGGTCAGCTAGGCCATGGTTCTGGGCTAGCCATCTACCCAGCGATGGTAGATTTCACCCATGCATGGGTAAGTGATCCCGGGATTCCAGAATCATGCCACCCAGCGATGGGAAGATCTTCCCATCGATGGGTAAGCAGTCCCTCAGCGAAACTGATTTCTAGAACCATGCGAAACAGCGATGGGAAGTTCTACCCATCGGTGAAAGCCTTGGTGCAACATTACCACAAGGCAGAATGCCCTTACCCAGCGATGGGAAGCTTTACCCATCGATGGGAACCCAGCGATGGGAAGGCTTAACCATCGATGGTTAGGCATGACCGTTGCGAGTCATTTAAGGCTGATTCTTTCCTTATTTGAAAGTCAACCTCCCACCTAGCGATGGGAAGCATCTACCCATCGATGGGTAGGTAACCGTTGGCTTCAAAACTGAAGGAAAATTGGCTTACCAGCGATGGGTAAGTTCCAAACATCGATGGGAAGCCAATATCTTGCAGATCCCAAATTTATTCAATCCCATAAATCAAGCCAATCACCCCTTTTATGTATTGGTCCGTTGGAGCCTATTTTGGCACTATAAAAAGAGGTGTTTGGGTCTGCTTTTCACATCAATTCACTTCACATTACTCCTATTATCATTGCATTCAAACAACATCATTTTCCATAGCTTTCTAGAGCCAAATTGTGTGATGTTTGAGTTGTACGAAGGAAAGGTATTTTCCTTCGGGTTGAAGTCTTGGAGTGCGGTATCTCCGAGCAAGTATTGTTGAGGCTCGTGGGACTCGAGTTCTCAGGTTGTAACGGTTTGTTAAGCACCCATAAGCTTAACGGAAGTAGTGTAGCTCGAGAGAGTCTCTCGGGAGACTGGATTAGCCACACGTTGTGGTGAACCAGTATAAATCTTGGTGTGCTCCCTTTACGCTTTTTACGCTCTTTACTTTTCACGTTCTTAATTTTTTATTCCTGCGATTTCTACGATCAAACGCTATTCACCCCCCCCTCTAGCGTTGGTCACTTATTCTAACAATTGGTATCAGAGCCTAACTCGCGTCCAAACTTAACCGTTTGAGAGTAAAAGCGATCATGGGTTCTTCTTCTAGAAATTTGTATGCAGGAATAGGTGAAGGGCAATCAACCACACGACCACCTCTTTTTGATGGAACCAATTATACCTATTGGAAAGAACGAATGAGAATCTATATTCATTCCACAAACTTTCAATTATGGTTGGTTATCAAAAACGGGGAAGAGGTGCCAATGAACAAAGTTGGTGACAAGTTGATCCCCAAGACCGAAGACGAGTTTGATGCCGAGGACATCAAAAAGGTCGAGAATTATGCAAAGGCAATAAACATGCTTTATTGTGCCTTAAATCCTGATGACTACCGCAAGATCTCCTGCTGCACAACAGCCAAGGAGATGTGGGATAAGCTCGAGGTGACGTACGAAGGAACGGACCAAGTACGTGAAGCCAAGACCGACTTCCTCACCCAAGAGTATGAGATGTTCAGGATGAAGGAGCACGAGAAGATTGACGACATGTTCGACCGATTTTCCAAAATAGTCAACGATCTTCATGCATTAAAGAAGACTTACACCGACAAGGATCTTGTGCGAAAGATCCTACGGAGCTTGACATCCGAATGGCGATCCAAGGCCGATTCCATCTATGAATCAATCGCCACATCAAATGTCACCATCGACGGTCTAAGAGGTAATCTAAAAACCTATGAATCTACTATTCTTAACTCGTCTTTGAATGACCAAAGGAAAGGGATGGCATTAAAAGCCGTCAAAGAATCAACGATGGATGATTCAAGCGACGATGATGAAGTCAAGCTTGTCATGAAGAAGTTTTTTAAACTTCTAAGGAAGAAAGAAAAGGTTGAGGATGGCCTTGTGTGCTATGGATGTGGTGAAGCCAGGCACATCAAGAACAAATGCCCGAAAAGCGGAAGGAATGCTCGGCACTTCAAAAGGCAAAGGGCATATATCTCTTGGGGTGGCGACTCTGGCGACGAGTCAACCGATCAAGACGAGGACGAAACTGCCAACCTCTGTCTCATGGCGCACGAAGACCAAACCGACGATGTACAAGAGGTATGTACCATTTCTTCCGACTCTTACACCTTTGAAGAAATGCAAGAAGCACTTCATGAACTTTATGATGAATTTGTTAGGGCTTCTAAAATCAACAAATCGTTAAAGAAACGCCTCTCCACTCTTGAAAATGATTTTGAAAATCTGGAAAAAGATAATGAGAAGTTAAAACAAGAGAATAAATTTTATGGCAAAAGAAGCGCTGACAAACCAGAAAGTTCCTCAAACGAATGTGAATCTTGCAAAGCTTTAGAGGAACAAGTCACAAAACTTGAGAGTACGGTCAAGAAATTTAATACTCCGCACAAAGATTTAAATTTGCTCCTTGACATCATGCATTTTTCTAAGGAAGGAATAGGTTTCAATAAAAATGACGCTAAGGTTAAAGAAAATGTTGACCCACCACCTAGACAACCATCTAAGGTTCAACGTAAGAAACCTAAAAATCAGGATAATAGAAAACCTAGTCAACCTAAGGACACTAGACAACCTAGACTAAAACGTAGGAATGAAAATGTTCATGGTAGACAACCTAAGAAAAATAATTTTGTGCATAATAATAATTTTTCTCAAAACAGGAGAAATAACATGAGGACACCTAGAAATGATTCTTTTGAAAACGTGCATAGACCATCCTTTTCTCAAAATAGGATGAATATGGTTAGACCCCCTAGCTATTATCAACCTAGGCATATGTTCAACCCAAACGTAGTATGCCATTATTGCAATAGGGTAGGACATATAGCTCCCGTGTGTTTTACCAAACATAGGCACTCCACCTATAATGAAACACACAATATTTTTGGTGCTAACGAAAAGAAATCCTTTAGAAAAGGATATTCGTATCATAGGCAATCTCCACAGGAAAGTGCACAAAAGAAACCGTATTATTTCTTCTACTTTGACGAAAAGAAGAAAGTCTACATTCCGTTACCAGAACCAACACAAACCACACCGAGATATCGGCACTCTGTTCAGGTAGACTAGAACCCGCCAACCACGAGACAATGGGTTGGCCAAGGTAACTCCAAAACGATCATCTAATCGTGTGTGTGTGTGTGCATTAGGAAACGAATTTTGGGTGTGTGTGTGGGCAATAAAGGTTAACTAACCCCCAAGGACCCATAGACATACTTTGGGTACCAAAGTGTTGCTTTTTTGCAGGTACATATCAAAGTGAGGAACTCAGGGGTGTTTGACACTTTTTTTAAAAAAAAATTTTAACGAATTTCTAGTAGCTGTCTTCCCATGGATGGGAGAACCTTACCATCGCTGGGAAGGCTGCCTTCACTTTTTCCTCTCTTTCCAGTACCTGTCTTCCCATCGATGGGAGAACCTTACCATCGCTGGGAAGCCTGTTGCAGTTCAAAAATCATAGCCGTTGGGCACCTCATTCAATGCCCAACAGCCATATTTTTTAACACCAAGGGCCCAAATTCTCTTTTCCTATAAATATTAACCATCCTTGGTCATTTTTAACACACAATTCACATTCCTCTTGCATACTTTCTAAACGGTTCAACAATGACCAGAGGAACGTCAAGGACCAAAACCGAGACTTCAAAGAAGAGGGCCAACACCGACGCCACGACCTCTTCTTTATTTTCTCCTTATTAAATACGATTGCATTTTTTTTATCCGTTGTATTCCGCATTTCCCTTTTAATGAATAAAAGTTTACTTTTAATTCTTTTTGTTAATGTCAAAAGGGGGAAGATATAAAGGTTATGCATAGCTTGAGGGGGAACTCTTTCTAAAACTAACTCTTATTCAACACATAAACTTTGTTGAAAAGAAAATTGCATTTATTAAGGGGGAACATTTTTTGAGTCTCAAATCAATCCTCTTATGCATAACCCCGTCTTGTTTGCCATTATCAAAAAGGGGGAAATTGTTGAAACACGGGTTTAACGTGTTTTCGTACTTAAGCCGTGTTCAATTTTATGACAGGTTTTGATAATGCCAAACCGCCGTGAATGAGACAAGTTGTTGAATATACAAGGCGAGAAATAAATATAAGAAGAAAGCAAGAGAACAAGAGCTAAAAGAGATCAAGAACGAACACCGTGGTCTTTAGCATCGTTGAGTCGGTCACAATGTGATTAAGACCGACCCAACCTTTACACCTTGGCTCTTTAGGCTAAAATTCTTTTCATTGCATTTCACACATCATAAAAATGTTTTTCAAACATGTTTAAAACATTAAAACACTTGGTGTCCGCCCAAACCAAAAACCAAGCCATCCGGCGTTCGGGTTTCAGAAACCGGCGTTCGGCGTTCGGTTTTCGGCGTTGGTTTTTGGCATCCGAACTAACCAAGTGGTTTTCAACTTTTTATGACTGGTTTTTACTTCTGGGCACATTTAAATAGTTTTTCATCAAAAACACTTCAAAAACCACCTTTCGTTTTTTGTCGTTTGATAAAAACCACGCGAAACGGCATAAACTTGGCTAGTCGTGGTTTTTACTTAAACGAAATGCTTTTCAAGTCTTTTTGTGTGGGAATTGTTTTTGAATGCATTTAAATGGTTCTCCAATCAAAACATCATGAAAACCACCTTTCGGTTTTGTCTTTTGGTGAAAACCACCCGTGTACGGTGTTGACTTGGTCAACCGTGGTTTTTACCTTAACGACGTGGTTTTCAACTTACAAAGCTTGTTTTGACATCAAAATACATTAAATAAGTGTTTTATATACTTAGTTTTTACTTTGGAGAACTTTGCATTTTT